AGAAACTGGTTTGAGTAGCTGTTACTTGGGAAAAACCTGCCATCCCAACAATGTTAGTGTTTCAAGAAATACAGGTGTATCCAGCAATCGAGAAGTAACACAGATCAAAAGTGGAATTTGTTTCTCCAGATTTTTAATACTGAGATACCTGATGAGCATATTCATTTATTTATTCATGGACCACTGTTTCTTGCTTGTACCTCTGGCTGACTAAACTAGGAACAGATTCAGTCTTGCCTTACATAAATGGGATCATAAAGTTAGAATCTATTTTCTATGTCCTCATACGTGTACTGTACAGTTTGTAAATGTTATTTCTGCAAACCTATTACAATATATATTTGATCACAAGATTTTAGTCTTAATGCCAAGTCAGCAGATTTACTTTATGAATTACAGGGACTAGAGATGCCCACATTCAGGAAATTTGCAATAACATTGCCTAGACATTATCTCTGCTCCACTAGAAAGCCTGTACATATTGTAAATATGTGTGACTGCTTGATTTGAAAAGTTTCCATTTCCGAACATTGTACCATCCTTGTGTTTATAATTCTAACCATAAATTATGTTAATATAACCAAACTCTATAGATTGTTCTATTCCATGCATTTCACACTGATTGTGAGAAATGTGTTCTTAGTAGCTAGTGCCTGATAGTCACAGCACTGGCCCCACTGTATGCACGTGCATGTGTGTCTGTGCATAAGTGTGTAAGTGGAATGCTGAAGATTAATGAAGAGCTAAGAGACTGAAATCTAGAATTCCACCCTCCTGGCTTTGTAACTGGGCTGTGTGCTGTTTTGCCAACTTGTTGAGCAGTCAGAGAATGCAAGGGAGCCTTCTGCCACAGGTAACGAGGAAGGTTTATCTGCTGTCTCCTTGTTATTGTGTTAACTACAGGTGATTTGTACCGCGAGGGTCTCCCTGGAAAGGTACAATCTTTGTGTTCAAGTATTTGTTTTAGTAAGACACGTTTACACGCTTATGGAATTGTTTCCTAACTCCTCCCAGCCCCTTCTCTAACCTTGCCTACTGTTCCTGCTGCGCACCCCCCAGTTACCTGCTGTTCCTCCACATCACCAGCTTGACCAGCTTCCCTGTCTGTAAGAACACAGAAGTGCTTCTTCTAACCAACATTTCTGCTCTTCAGGCGGTACCAGGACAAAATGGGGAGACTTAGAATGAGTCAAATAATATTTTCCAACATCACGCATCTACTCTGAAGGGAAACCTAGAACACCATCTCCATTCCTCAAATAACTGCTTATGGTGTCACCATGTCTTGCTTACTCTGACCGTCCCAGGTTCTTGTCCAATATTCTTGGACTTTTAAAAGTAAAAGTTTCACATTTTTAATGATTTCCCCACACTGAAGACAATAAAATTTAAAAAGTGAGTTATACATAGTGTTTTACAAGCTAATATATGAAAAATTTCTCTTAGAACCAGTTATCTCACTACTGTCTATACGACTACAGAGTATAAAAAGTCATTAATTTCTGGCAAAATTTTACCTCATCAGAGAACTGTAACATCTCAACTAAAATTGCTTTTATAAAACATTTTGCATAAACTTTCACCATAAGATGTTGATCATCAGTCCAACCCTTCTCCTCATGTTATTTCCCATCTAAATACAACCAGTATTGATCCTCCTTGCTGCTACCATTACCCCCTTTCAAAGGGCCGTGCTAAGAGCCAGGGATACAGCTCAGGGGCACAGCGGCTGCCCGGTGGTGCAAGGTCCTGAATGTGAGTCCCCGTACCAATAAACAGAACAAAGCAAAGCAACCACAGACAGTGCTAATAAGAGTCCATCTTCTTAATTTTGTGCCTGATTCTTAAGTTTCTCACATTACTGCAGACGTGTTAGTGCAAATCAGACTATTCACCAAATAACTCCATGAGGGATTTGATACAGAACATTTACGCCAGCATGTGAAGACTACCAGTGGGTCAGTGTGTAAACAGGACGTAGTGAACCCACAAAAGAAGAAATAACCCCAAGCATATGTGGAATGACACACAGTCTTCACAGGGCAAAGGCTTACTCTTCAGATACTCCTTTGTAGAAGTGTACTTAATCGTTTGTCAAAACCACTGCAGTTCTTCCTACGTTCTTTCTCTATTTCTCTTTTAACTTGATGTTAGAAAGAGGTGCTGCTAAATGTAGGATGCCTTAGTCATACTGTACTTGGGGACAACATTATGAGAGCCTGGTACGCATTCCTGCTAAACATTCACTGTCAGCTACAGTGAGCTGTTTAACAAACCTGGTTTCAAGTCACTCACGTAAAATGAATAAAGAGCCTTCTGCACTGTTTATTAGTAGTATTAATTCTCAAGGAGTGACCTTTAGATTCAGAATGTGATATATTTCCCAGCACCTACGACTGGTGGTTCATCTCACGTATAACCAGCTGATGTTCCTTCAGTAATCTTCTCATAGTTAACCTCAAAAGATTTTTTAAAAATATGAGCTTCAGTTACCTTTGTTCCACCTTATCCATGCAACAATTATTTATTCATATTTTGAATTTTCATTTTTAAAATGAAGTCCATTCTAGTGACAATTCAGCTCATCCTCTCCCCTCTGTTCTGTGATGTACTGTTACTAGTTTGGGATGCCTGATGCCATTAAAGTAGGAGCATATTATTAAACAAAACAGGCAACTACCATGGATTCTGGGCCAGCTTTAATTTCTGCCACAGTATATTTTTAATTTATTTGTACTGCACTTTGCTATTTAAAATGTAACAAGCTGGGCATGGTGGCCCACTGTTGCAATCCCAGCTCTTGGGAGGCTGAGGCAGGAGGATCATATGAAAGTTTTGAGACCAACCTGGACTACAATGTAAGCCCAAGGCCAGCGTGAACTGCATAGCAAGACCTTGTCTCAAAAAGACAGAAAAGAAAGAAAGAAAAAAAGAAAGAAAGGAAGGAAGAAGAAAGGAAGAAAAAGAAAACTAAAATGTAACACAAGGTGTTGAAATAAAATGTATTCACTGTTGAATTTAAATATTTTTGCTTTCTTACAAACATTAAAACAATGTAAAGACATACATTAATTCCTCGCATTTACTGGATTTTCCTCTTTAATGCACTTGTTTTTACATTTCTGTGTTCCATGAGTATGTGTTTTATTTTCCAATTTGTTTACTTTTCGTCACCATTTCGGAGCAGGCAACAGATGCTATGGCAGAAAAACTATTTCAGGCTGTAAAAGATGCAAGTCACTACTTGGGTCTCTCGGTCTTTCACTCTGTCTCAGTATCATTTGATCAAAGAGAAGCAGTTTTAAAAATGGCAGTGAAACTCACTGAAAATTGAGCATGTTAAAGAAAAAATTTCAACAAGGTTCTTTTTCTTTTGTTTTAAATGCGCAAACTCTTTCTGTTCGCTATCACTGTTCATATCTTCACATTTGCTGGTACTTACCCAAAATAAACAACGCAAAGTTGCTGCCAGGCTGCTTTCCCACTGTTTTCATCCTCGCCCAGCACATAAAAGGAAAGAGATTCTGCAGTTTCTTATAAGACATTTAAATCTGAGGAAGTAGGCTGAGCTCTGAAAACACAAGTGCCCACAGGTAGACAGTTTCTGCTTAGTCAAATGACACTTATTAAGATTTACAGGCAGGATGAAGGATGCAGAGAAACCATCGGAATCTCATGAAGCTCGCAGGAACTTTTCTCTCATGCTATTAAAAATAGAAAACTAAAGCTCTCTGCATCCAGGATGCTTTCGAAGCATGGTGGTGAGACTCCAGGAGCCTGACTGGTGAACAATGTCTTAAGGGGCATGACAGGAGAAGATACGGGTACCAAAGCTGTAAATAAAGCTCAGAGATTAGTGTACCAGAAAAGCTCTCAAAGGATCTTATGTCACGTACAAGACCTTTTGATCTTTTGACAACAGTAAGTCATTTGAGAAGTTCTTAAAGAAAACCTATGAGGAAAAGAGGAAATTAAACTAGTATTAGGTAACTGAGTCTGACTTTCTACTTCATACATCCAAGGCCCAGTAACTTGGGTGACTTGAATGAAAACCAGCAAGGTAGTCTGAGGTGTTTATAGCCTTTAATCTATAGCTGCACTGGATATTTTAACAGATCTTACCTAAAAAGCAGGGAAAAGGAAAGAACAAGCATGAGGCTACAATTAAGTTTTAAAAACAGACACACTGGCCACCACGGAGGGATGTTTGGTCCCTTTTATTGCTTGGATGATGTTCTTGGTTTGTCTGCACTTAGATTTTAATCTCTCATAGTCAGTCATCATAGCTGAGGTTGGCACTGTTGAGAAACGAACACCAAGCCCTGTTGTGACAGTGCCAGGACAGTTGTGAGTGTCACAAGCTGGTTTTCTCATTCTCATTGAGTATTTTCTATCAACTTGCCTCGGCATTCCAGCACAGGCTCAAAGTACCCAAACGTGGAAGATTTTCACTTTTATGTACAACTAAGGACAATATTCAACTTTCTGGTTACAAGACTATCATTTAGAAGAGGTCCTGACTTCATTTGAAAGAGGGTTAATGTACAATAAAGAGTCAAGTAAAATACTTACCTCAAGTTATTGGCACATGGTAAATATTATATTATACTTTCCAAACCCCAGTTTTTATGGAAATAACTACTTAGAAACTTGAGAACAGAAAATAATTTTTCATAACCATATTAAATACTAATTTTTAGTATTAAAATATTCTTTATTAATTAAAACAAGACCCCAAATGAAAATGTTATAGGCATCCATAAGTAGCTCCTTTGCTTTATACACTGCTGAATCCTAGAAAAAATTTTTTCAATCCAGAACATAATTTCACAACCCCCACCCATACACACAATTCTCTGTCTTGATGAAACCACTGGCAGTCCTGGTGAAACCACTGGCCATCTCCTGTTTCCTTGGCAACCATACTATCCTTAGGTGGCCTGATGTCACTCTGGTTTAAGAGATATGAGGGGAATAGAACAGAAAGCAAGGATGTGGAATTTTCATTTCTGAGGATCCTTCTCTGATGTGCTTTTCCATTTTAGAAATTTTGCAATAAAAAAACCTATACAATCCTTATTTGCCAGCCGGATCATGTCTTCTGCTGTGGCATCTCTAAGAGCATCCTGGTCAGGGTCCTGTAATGGCACAGCAGATGGATCGAATCGCTGCAGCTGTCTCAACTGTTCAAGTGATAAGCCAGCTCCCATCATCCCTTCTTCTCCAATCCGTGGCTCCTATTAGGAGAAAACCAGGTGGATGAATGCTGCCCCTGCTACATGTTAACAATTAAATTAAAAGATAAACTAAAAGCTGGGGGTGGTGGCGCATGACTATAAGCCCAGCACTCTGGAGGCTGAAGCAGGAGAACTACTGTGAGTTCAAGGCCAGCCTGGGCTAGATTGTAAGACCTTGTCTCAAAAATACAAAACAAAAACAAAAAAAGAGACAAACTGAGTTAAACCTATCACATCGTCCAAAACAGAGAACAGTAAATGCTTTTACTTTGCGGAATGTACATGATGCTTTTGAGTGGTAGAACAGAAAAGCGGTACTATGTGTTCACGCAATGAAAGGAAGACCATTTACGTCCTGCATGCTTACCAGGTACTGGGTGACACTGTAAAAGGCCTGAACTCCAGTTAGAAACCCTGAACTGAAACTGCAGCTCCGTCAAATTTTTGCTGTGTGATCTTAAGTAGGTAACTCTATCTAAACCCAACTTTTCAGATCTATAAAACAGATAAAATGCTAAGTTCTGAACTAAAATAGAGAGATGGATCATGCCTGGGATACACTGAGAATGCAGTAAATGGAACATTATTATCCATAAAGTAACAGATAAAAGTCAGCTTTACTTAGTACTTATCACACTTCTGAAAAAAGTTCTTCAAATATCAAAAATGCGTTTCTCTGACTCATCCAATTGGTTTTACATGTCCTTGGAGAACACATATTAGTAAAGGATCAATAAATTAAGGCTATATCCATTAGCTTTGAGTTATATAGAATCCAAACAAATTAAGTGGTCCTTGCAAACCACAAGTACAAAAGATCCATAACTAACTTGAATCATCATTCAGAGCCACATGTTTATGTATTAATAAAGATAGGTTTTCAGATATGTACTTAAGAACACAGATTGACATTTCAGTATGAATTCTAAGTGAATTCTGAAGTCTTCCCTTCATCTAGGGCTTCTGAGTCTAGAAACCATTTCTGGATTACTTATTTATATGGCTTAAACTTGAATCATAAGTAGTCTTCAGAATCATAAAATTAGATTAGTACTAAGCACAAGAAAGCTTAAAGGTTAGATTTTTATATAACAAATTATAAAAAAGCAATAATCCTCAACATTCCCCTTTTCCACCGGCCTTCTTGGTCTTTGGATATTCCAGTTAGTGAAGTATGTTTGGGCTTAGATGTGACCTGAGACAAAAATACTTGATATATATTGTTAGGAGAAAAATATGGGATTAGAAATGAGGAAAAACAACTTTGAAACCCAAGTGCCAAGTCCCATGAAAGACAGCTATTAGTAGAATAAACACGTAACAAAAATCACCCAAGTTTTGTGTCATTTCAGCATAATGGCAAAACATAAGGGGAAAACAGTCTGTCACCAACATGCAAAATCCCTGTGGCCATCTAAAAGTGATCTAAAAGGAGAAATGTTCTTGTTTACTAAGGTATTTGTTTCATAAGTTTTACTTCACATATTTCAGCATGTAACACCCAGCGCCTATCACCACACTTCCACTTCTGTGGTTTGTCACTCTGCACAGAGAAAAACTGAAACCACTCTTACCTGGGGCTGAAGCTGGAGGCAAGGAAATGTGCTGAGGGCCCAGGCAACCTGCTCTTCATTTTCTGCCAGGGTGATAGTGCACGTGCTATAAATGAGCATGCCTCCTGGCTTCAGCAGCTGGGCTGCCTAGAGAGAACTAAGTCAGTCCTGTACACCACAAGGCCACGTAAGTGAAGGGACTTTACAGCATAAAGGGTGACACCTACAAGTAGCTGAGAAATAAAACAAAGAACGACATTCTCCATGGTAAGTAAGCAGAGCACAATCCTTGCATCCCAGATCAGCTGCATTTCCCGCCTTAGCACTCTCGTGCTTCACTTGGACCAGGATTCTCAAACACCAGAGTTTCATACACTCAGACAGCAACCTTATTTCAAAAATTGGGAAGTTCACATTGCTAGGCCACGCCTTCTTTCTGAATTCCACACTCATATCCAGCTGCCTCCTCAACACTTCATGTCCCAAAATGAGCCGCTGTCTGAAGCGGCTTCCGAAACCTATCGTGGAAGTCTTCCCATCCTTCTGAGGTGGGCAGCGCCAGCCCAGATTCTACTTCACGCCTCTCACACTCGCCACGTGTCCCCAAATCCTGTAGGTTCTCTCACAGCCTCCACCAGGACTCTGGTGCAGCCCTCCTCATTTCTTAGAGGACTCACACAGTCTCCTACTTAGTTTATTGCTTCCCTCCTGTCTTCTGACCACTTATTCTCTTTTTTTATTTATTTAAAGAAAAGGAAACGAAAAAAAATACATGGAGATTAAAAAAAAAGGGTAGAAATAATTCTAAATTACAGACAAACAAAAGGTAAGAAATTGCCAGTTGATAAGTTACAAATTGTCATCTTCGAAATGGCTGTTCAGGTTATAGAATTAAAGTATATAGAATGACATTCAAAAAAAAAATGACCCTACAAACCATTCTGCTCTATGGCCGAACAAAAGCTCCGTAATATGATTATCAGTCCCACCTATTTGTTTTACATCTCTAAGAGGATAAGGTTAACCATATCAAAACAGAACAGAACATTTTAAAAAAAAATAAAAAACAATTTAAAGAAATACAGATTTCAAAGCAAGTCCACTGGAGATCTACCTTATCTAACTGTCTCTAGCTTCTTACAAATAGTTGTCCCTAACCTCACCCACTTTCTATACTTATTGCATATTATAGAACTAATCAAATCATTACAGGATGATGGAGTCTTTTTAGGTCCTCAAGTTCCAAATTAGGGAAGACAATACCAACTACCATCGCATCTCTCATTCTCTTTGTGATAGCCGTCCCCATCTTTGCATATGCTGAAGTTGAGCTGAAGAAACCAGTCCAGAGTCATTTTAATCAGCAAGCAATAGATTGCTAGAATTTATATTATAATGCTACAAAATAAGCCTCGGGTTTTTCAGGTCTCTTCCTCAGAGTATTTGTTCCTATCCTCTCTGTATTATAGGGAAAACCAAGTCATAACAAGACAACGAAACAATTTCCTAGATAAACATGCAATGGATAGGACTTATAAAACTATAATATAAATGATCTTCCATAGCTACTATGTTTTCTCTTGTTATTTTCAATAGATTTGTCGACAACACTGGCTTATTATAGTTAAACATACTATCACCTATTTTTATAAAAACTTATCTTTGACTGCATTGTAGTATTTGAGAGCTGTTACTGATTCATACCAGTATGGATATCCTTTACATCTTGTCATGCTCAGAGTAGATTCCTCTACTTTTAGGGTTGATTCTAACACGCATACAGATTTCAAATAGGATCAGTCAAGGCCAACCAATAGTCTTATGATTCAGATACAATTAAGATCAGTCATAGTAAGACAATGTAAGTAATACAGAATTTCAGCCTAAGTCAATAGGAAAGTAAGGATAGTTGCCGTGGTATAACCTGCTATTTTTGGTTCTAGAGGTCTGTGTCCTCAAATCTGATATGAGTGGACAGACCAGAACAAATTTAATTCAATCTAAATATGTCACTAGGACTACTGTGTCTTTTAAATCGTTATACACCATTAGCAATGACCTCTGCTTTTTTTTTTAAATATAGTTTCAGAGCTGTCTCTACTAAAGACTAGCTTACCGTCTCTGCCTCATGTCTGCTACTCCACTTTTCTGCTATAATTTGTCCACCTTATTCCCTCATTCCATGGTCTGCCCCATTCACTGAGGCTTCTCTGCCACTGTAGCTGTAATCCTGATATCTCTTCCTCTCTTTCTCTGTAATGTTCTTCAGCGCTCTCTGTAGGGGTGGATTGGTGGCCACGAACTCCCACAGTTCCTCCTTGTCTTGAAAGTATCTTATTTCTTCATTAATTTTTAGAGAGAGTTTTGATGGATATATGAACTTAGGTTGCATATTTTTTTCCTTCAGGGCTTGGAATATTTCTCCCCACTCCCTTCTTGACTTAAGAGTTTGTGTTGATAAGTCTGCTGTTATTTTGATAGATTTCCCGTTATAGGTAACCTGCATCCTTTCTCTGGCTGCTTTTAATATTCTGTTTTTTTGGTGGATTTCTGGGATCTCGATTATTATATGCCTAGGCGTAGATCTGTTTTGGTTGTAGGTAGCTGGCGTTCTGTATGCTTCTTTTATCTGGATATCATTTCTTTTTGCTATACATGGGAAATTTTGCTTTAATATCTCTGTGAATATTTTTTGTATTTCATTTTTGGATGTTCCTGCTTCCTCACTCACATTCTTTATTCTTAGGTTATGTATCTTTTTATCATCTTCCAGTTTTAGAATTGCTTCTTTCTGGTTCCTTGTTATTTTTAAGAGGATTTTTCTTTCACGTTCATAAGCCCTAAATCTCTCTTCAAGTTTCAGAAGGTTGTCTTTAGTTTCTGTCAAGGCATTTTGCCAATATTCAATGGAGTTCTGAGTTTCCTGATATTCTCTTTGGATCTGTTTCATGTATTCTAAGTTATGCTTAAATTCTTCTTCAGATGCTTCTCTTTCTTTTCTGATTTCCTCAGTTCTTCCATCTGTGTTCTCTTGGGCGGGGCTTGTCATTTCTTTAATTAATCTCTTTATATCTTGCCTCACTTGGATCAGGAGTACATCTTTAAATTCCTCTATGAGATCATGTAAGTACTTTTTAATTTCGGCTGATGCTGTGTCGAGTAGAGGATGGTTACTGTGCTTGTTCTCTTCAGTGTTTAGTTCTCTTGGGTTTAATTTCTCCTGTTGAACAGCTGGAGGTTTTTTTTTATTTTTATCTCTTGTCATGTTTCTGGTTTCTTTCAGACTGTCCTGGAGTTCTCTGGCCCTCTCCGAATTGCTTAGGGCCTTTCAGAAGCGTGCTGGCTTGAGTTTTTGCTGTCCTCCCCAATTTGCTGTTATCTGGGGTAGGCTGGGATGTAGGGGCAGTACAGTCTAGTCTCTAGCCTCTGTGTCAGTTAGTTCATAAATTAGGCTGTACTTTCTGGTTGTCACTGAGTTGTGACTATTTTGTATCTGCTTATTGGGCCCCAAGCAAAAGCTTGGTTTAGCCCCAGTAGCTCCTGCCAGTTCTCTTTGAATCAGAAGCAGCTGAGTAATGGCACAGGATTCTGCCCAGGTCCCAGCCGTTCTCTTCCAAACCTCTCTGTGATAGGTGCACCAGAAAAGCAGATCTGCCCAAAACAAAGATGGCTCCCACTAAGTTCTCTGTGTGGAGCTGAAGCCAACAAGTAATCAGGCTCTGCCAGGACTCAAGATGTCTTCCACCAGCCCTCCCTACAGGGGGACCTGGTGATGTCAGAAGCTGCGATTTCTGCCGCCAGGCTAATATGTCTGCACCAGACTCTGGGTTATTGATTTCCCCGTGGTGGCGGGCCAGCTGTTCTCTGGCCAAACCCAGCAGCCGCGGGTTTTTTTTGTACTCACCAGAGTCCGGTGCAAGTCCTCGTTCCGGGACCGCCGCACACCAAGCTGTCCACTTTTCCCCCACTCGCGGCTCAGCGCTGACTGGTCAGATTTCTGTGCACCATTTAGATTTGAATTGCCAGAGCTTTGTACATCCGCTCTGGTGCAGCGGTGCAGAACTGGCTGCTACTTGGAGTCTCGATCTGGGTCTCAGTTTCCCGCGGTCTCCAAAAGCAACTCAGCTTTTCGTGCTGGGTCCACGAGTCTGTTTGTTGATTTAAGGGCGCGGGATTTGTAGCCTCCGGTCTCAGCACGACTTTAAATCCTCCAGTTGTACTGTCTTGGTTAATAAGAATCGCTATCGATTTGTCTTGTCCTCTCCATGCTGTCTTTTTTTATCTTTGAGTTTGAATTCTCTGGAGAGATTCTTCGCTCGATCCCCTAGCTCGCCGCCATTTTCAGCCCTCTGACCACTTATTCTCAATCCAAAGCCAGAGTGCAGTGCAGTGTCCCACTGGTCACCTCTTAGCCTGACACCCTTCCAGTGCCCTTCCACTGCCACCCAGCGTCAAAGCCAAAAGTCTTTAGAGAGGCTGCAAGTCCTCCGGAGGCCTGCCCTCTGGCTTCCTCTACAGTACCTCATGTCCTGCTTTAGAGCCACTGGCCTCCGGCTGTCTCTGGAACTCGGCAAGGCTCGCCCCACCTCGGGATCTTTCGCCCGGCTGGAACTCTGGGACACTCCTTCTCCACATTGCGTACTCCTTTCGCAGGTCACCTTTGCTCCATGTCCCCTTTACAGCAGCCTTCTTCCTGACCACCCCGTGTGACATCCCAAATGCTACAGTCCAGCACTGCTACCGCACTTGCCTTGCTTTGGTTCTCTCCGCAGGTTCCTAGCTCAGGGCCTGTCATAATCTGAACAACTCACTCACTTGTTCACTCTCCCCAACAACCCGAGATGGAAAACTCAGAAAACAGGGGTATGAATCGTTTGTCGACTTTTTTACTTCTGTGTTATTGACACCGATCATAGCGTGATGTCTTGCATACAGCAGGCGCTCGGTGTCAAGCAAATAAACCAGCAAATAAAGTGCTAAACTAGCATGAATTTGTCTCAAATACCTATATTTTATTTTTAAAATTTAGCATAAATGTTTGTGGTTTCTTCACACTAGAGAAATTTAAACTTTGTTATTATTTATTTGTATGAATTTGTTTATTAAATACTTTTCATTGATAGTCTTGTAACAACCATGAGGTAAGATTACTATTTGCAGTGCAGTTCCTATTAGGTTGAGTCCTTATGCTCATTTCTCTGAATTTGAAATCAGCATAACTAAAGTCACTTAGGTGAAGAAGCCATGGCTCAAATCAAGATGTGTCCAACTAAATAATGCACATTCCATTTCAATTTGTATTCATCCAGTGGCACACCTGCTATATTCACGTTGTTTCTCACAGGTCAGATATTCCTTTTTATTGAAATCATAAATCTATCTCTAGAATCTTTTAAAATTTCCTTCTCTGCTATACCCTAAAAAAGAACAAAACCCAAGTCCCTTAAACTGGGATCTTAATTTCACTCTTAAATCCAGGTGGCTTGCAGGTATATGTAAAACTTCCTGTTTGCTGCCTGCTGTTCTAACTCTATGTATTTTCTGACTACTACAGAAAAAATGTTACACAATCCATAAGGAGTGGCTACTTTTGTGAACTTGGAAAGGAGAGATGCATAGAAATGTACGCAAGGACAACTTAAGAGACAAAATAATTACAGTACATCCATTATTGTGCTCGTCTACGTATTTATAATTCAATGGCTAAGAAGAAATAATGAATTCATCTTTGATCAAAGGGTGTCTATACTCAGTGAAATCATAGAAATAGAGTGTTTTATCTGGGTTTTTTCTAACACACACTGGAAATCAGTTAATTGTCAAAATTTTTATGGCCCTTTTACTGGATGCTGCTATTCACTACTGTAATCTTTTGCATCTCATTGACTTTCTACATTTATGTCATCAGCTGACTCAGGAGCCCAATAAAAAAACAATTAATTTTGCATCAATTCTTTATGTCAGTTAGTAACTGTGTGAACCATTCACCTTTTTAAAAAGACAGACCACAATGTTTGAAATTCATTACATAATTCAGGAAGAAATTCCACCATCATCTTGTATTTGAAAGGGTACACTACTGGGTTCCACATACCTATAAGCCCATCACTCTGGGAGGCTGAGGTAGGAGATATGCAAATGCAAACCCAGCCTGCACAACTTAAGTGACTTAATGAGATCCTGTCTCAAAGTTACAAATTTACACAGTGCTGGGATGGAGCTCAGTGCAAAGGCCCTAGGTTTAAGCCTTAGTACTAAAAAGTAAGTAAAATACAAAAAGGGTGAGTTGACACAAAGGAAAACTCTCTGTATTTAAATTAGGCATTCTCAGTCTTTTGTGTGAAATAAAATATACATAACATAAAACATCATGTTAACCATTTTAAGTGTGTAATTCAAAAGGCATTAAGTGCATTGTGCAGCTATCACTTCTACATGTGTCCAGAACTGTTCGTCATCTCTAACAGAAACTCACCTCAGACAGAAACTCTGTAACCACACCAGGAACCCCCTAATCTCCATTCCCCATCCCTTACTCGCTAGTGACCTCTAGCTTACTTCCTATGAATTTGTCATTCTAGGGCCCTTATATAAGTGGAATAATACAACATTTTTCCTTTTATGTCTGGCTTATTTGATGCTTCAACGTTCATCCACATTAGAGCCTATGTCAGAATTTCACCTCTTTTTAAGGGTGAATAATCTTCCATGTATGGATATGTTTATTCATTTCTCTGTTAATGGATTTGCGGGTTGTTTCCACCTTTTGGCTACTGTGAATAACACTACTCTGAACGCTGCCCCCAGTGGCTTAAACTTCAAACTACCCAAGGTCAACATCCTTCACAGCAAAAGATCATCACATACCACAGAAAAGAATTTTCGCTGTAGTGGCTGATATGACATCACTTCCTTCAAAGTCCAAGTACAAGCCATATTTGGTCTCTGTCCCATTCCACTGCAGGGTGCATCAAGAAGAATTCGGTCAAAAGATTCTGGTGAGAATGGAGGTCCTTCTATACAGCCAATATAAAAATATTTGCTATTTGTCATATTGGTCTAGAACAGAAAACTCCAGATACAAGCAACAATCAGGATCTTAATGCTGTGGTTTAGGAGACCCTGTCTCAAACTACATAATAATAAAAAGGCTGTGGCTCTAATTCAGTGTGAAGGTTCTGGGTTCAATTCCCAGTACTACCAAAAGCCAAAACAAAAACAAAAACAAAAAAACCCCCAATAGATCAAAGTATTATTTTGGATAAAAAATAATGTTTCCCTTGAGGCAGCTGGTAAAGCTAAGATTGACTTATGTTTAATATAGATTTGAGTTTGAACAAAGGTTTAAAAATGCGGAATTTGCTTGTTTGTTTTGAGACAAGGTCTTACTATATAGCTCTGACTGGCCTTGACTCACTGTGTAGCCCAGGCTGGCCTTAAACTCACAGCAATCCTCAGGAGTCAACCTGCTGAGTGCTGGGATTACAGGCATGTGCCACCATGCCATCCATAAAAGTATGGGTATTACTGTTGGGTTTTTTCCTTAATATAGAATAAACCTAGATGCAATCAAATGAGATCCTACACTCCCTACTTTAGAAACCATAGTTCATCAGAGCTAAGACTCAGAATTAATTCTAGTTATTTTAGGAATTGATTTCTCTTGGTAACTCCTACTGGGGACAACTCCAGAAAGTGAGTCTGTCAGGTAGTGGCTCTCACTCTATTGTTCCTTGGTCTCCTTGTTGCTGTCAGTATCACCCTGGTTGTGGACCACAGTGAGCCTGGATTCAGTCCTCCACAGAGCACCCTGTGCATTCACTGGAATAATTTTTGCAATTATTCCAATTGCAAATTAGTCTAATTCCTGATCTGGAGAACTCATGAAACAAAATGGTCTGTACATATCTTTATATGATCCCTACAAGTAAGACATTTTATTTAAAGTTACTTGTTCCTATAGAACCTACAGCATCATTTCAAATTTCACCCTAATGTCATCTGCTTTTTTCTGATTTCAAAGCTATTAGATAAAAGCAATTATCTGGCTCATCTCCCTCTGTAACTATCTTTGCTCTCTTATCTATTATTTTTGAAGAAATTCCTAAGAAATTATTTTTTGGACATATACTGGTAAAACCCACTAGAAATGCTACATCAATTTACCCTTAAATTTTATGTATACTTGTTTCTCCCAGTCTTCATTAAACGTGGTTTTGATTTATTGGTCATTTGTATTTTTGTCTGTATTTGGGCATATCCTCTGTCTGCCCTATTTGAGACTTATTATAAGAAAAGACACATCAAAGAGGGTAGGAGAAACACTTTTACATCACTTACATCACTTCTCCTTCAACCCCAGGCAACACAGAATAGAGAAAAATCCTCTGCTTGGGGGAAGGAAAGCAAAGTCATCAAGAGCATATTCTATTACCAGCCCCATCCTCGTCAAACCAAGTACCAGGCAGCCACAGCCCCACCTTCCAGGCCAGTCTAAGTAGCCCTAGACCCTCAGCTTGCTCCAGCAGAGCAACAGGAACACCCTGAGCATCCAGGTTCTAGGGTGGCTGCCGTGCAGCCAGGACCTAAGTCAAACCTTATGGACCTAGCCACCAGGCCAGTACCTGACTCTAAGCCAGACTCTAAGCCAGACTTTGTGGATTTTTTTTAAAACCAGGAATCAAACAGACTTTGTGGATTCTGACTCCTGGTCAGTACCTTTAGCACCAGACTCTAGCTTAGTCACTATGGTTTCAGGTACAAGAGGAGCACTTATGATCGCAGATGTCAGACTGATCCCCACAAATCCAGAGTCTATGTTTGTTCCTGTTCCAAGTCCACTTTAGTGGGCCCAGGTTCCAGGCCTGTTCCAGTGGACACAAAATCCAGTCCTGCCCTATTAACCCCTGATGCTAGGGAGGACCCCACACACTGAGGCTCTAGGACAGTGATGGTGAACCTTATAGAAACCAAGTGTCCAAGCTGCAACCCAAAACTTAAATATTTGTGGCAAAGTCCCAACACTGTAATTAAACCCAAACACTGATGTTTCAGTTTAGAAAAAACAACTCATACACTTGGCTCACACACTGAGAGAGGGTTCTGCATGCCTGCCATGGAACGCATGCCATAAGTTCCCTGTCAGTACTCTAGGACCACCAGTGTCACTTGCAACTTCAGGCCAACCCTAGGGACCTGCCCAATGCCCTGACTAAAGCTGCAGGCCCAACCAACTGACAAATTAGCCCCATGTGGACTCAGGAACCAAGACTATCTTAGCCCTGGGCAATAGCCTGTACTCAAGCTCAGTCATCCAGTTCTACATCATCTTCAGGGAAGCTTGTGTTGTTATAGGTTCTAGAACAACTGATGCACTTCTGACCTGAAGGTCCACCACCGTGGGTCCAGTTTTTACATGGGCTGACCCAAGGTATCGGATCACCCTGTCCAGTGACTCCAGTAGCAAAACAGCTCACAGACAGTGTGATCTGAGTTTCTCAAAATGGACAGATGAGCCAGAAGGCTCATTCCTACATAAAGCCAGTTTGCAAAGACTGTAAATCCCTGCTTCTTGAAATATGCAAACACAAATCCATAGCCAGAAGGATTAAGAACAAACAGAGAAACATGGCACCAACAAAGGAACAAAGCAAAAAGTACCAGGAACTCACAACTCAAGGAATGCATATTTATGAATTACTAGACAAAGAATTCAAATGATACCACAGAAGCAAAAGATTATATATAAAAAACTACTATGAACAATTATACAACAATGGACTCAGTAACCCAGAAGAAACCACTACCAAGACTGAATCGTGAAGAAACCAAGGATCTAAATAAATAGACTCAATCCATAAAGAAAAACCTATGACTTCATTCCTTCACTAGTGGATGCTACTAATCGTTTATAGAGAAAAACTAATACCAGTCATTCTGAAACTCTTCCAGAAAGCTGAAGAAGGAATTCTTCCAAATTTATTTTATGAGGCCAGCATTACCCCGATACAAAAGCCAGAATAGAAGAAAATTACTTCAATATCCTTCATAAACACAGATGCAAAAATCCTCAACAAAATATTCAAAAATTGAATCTAGAACATGACCAAATGACATTTACTCCAGGGATGCAAGCACAGTTCTATATACATCAGCAAAATAAATGTGACGCACTGCATTAACAGAGCAAAGGGCAAAAACAATTTGATTATCTCAATAGGGGCAGGAAAAGCACTGGATAAAACTCAAAGCCTTTTCATGATAAAAGTTTAGCAAATAAGCTATACAAGAAATATATCTGAGCACAGGAAGGCTGTAACAAGCCCATAGCATTAATAATAACAAAATGAATGGTAAAAACTTCAAAGCTTCTCTCTGAGATAGAGGATAAACCAAGATGTCTACTCTCACTGCTTTTCAACACAGTACTGTAAGTATTAGAATATTTAGGTGAGAGAAAGAAATAAAACCATCTGTCTGTTACTGAATGATGTTGTATACGGAAGAAACTTAAATAGTCCATGGGAAAACTATTAGGCCTAATAAAAAATTTAGTAAAGTTTCTAGATATAAAATTAACATACAAAAATCAGCAGTGTTTCCACACATTAATATTTTCCATAAATATTAAGAAAATAATCTCATCTAAAACACCAACAAAAAGAATGGTGCTACAAAAACTGAGTATCTGCCTGTGGAAAATGAAGCAATCTTTATCTCATGCCTTATATAAAAATAAATTCAAAATGGATTAAAGACCTGGAAAATGTAAAATACAATAGCAAGGAAAAAACACCGAGAAGGTTCACAACACTACTCTAGAAAATTATTTTTTAATATGACCCTGAAATTACAGCCAACAAAGTAAAACTGATATTATGTCAAACTAAAAAGCTTCTGCACAGCAAAGGAAAAGTTAAGACTACACAGTGGGAAGAAGTATTTTCAAAGTATACATCCAATAGGAGGCTACTACTCAAAACACTTAAAAAAAACAAATAACTGGAAAACAAGAAGACAATCCAATTAAAACATGGGAAAAGGACAAGAATATTTCCTCAGAAGAAGACAGTGACAAGTACAGTACATCAAAAGCAGGGAAATGCTAATCAAAACCATCACAGGATAACATCTTATGCATGATAAGATGGCTACAAAACAACATAACGGTGACAGCTCAAGTGTCACTAGGATGCAAATTGTTATATCATCATGGAAAATAGTATGGCTCCTCAAAACACTAATAATAAACTGACCATATAATACACCAGTGGGAATATATGCACAGAAATTAAAATCAATATGCCAAAGAAATATCTGCATCCCCATGGTCCTTACAGCATTATTCACAATAGTCAAGATATGAAGTCAACTCAACTATCCGGCATAGATGAATGGTATACACACACACACACACACACACACACACACAGACAGAGTAGCCTTTTCAAAAGGATATTATGTTATTTGTGACAAAATGGATGAATCTGGAGTTCCTTATGCTGAGTAAAATAAACCAGCAACCAAAAAAAAAAAACAAACAAACAAATAAATAAACACTGTATGATCCCAGTTATATGCAGATTCTAAAACAGTCAACCTGACAGAAGCAGAGAGCAGCACAGGGTTACTAGAGATGGGGAGAACAGGCCAGGCATAGGGAGGTGCTGTCCAAAAGGTAGACGTTTCCTGCTAGACAGGAAAAAACAAATTGTTGAAATCTGCTACATAGCATGGCAACTTCAGTTAATGGGAATTATGTATTTGAAGACTGCTTGGCGAAAATTTCAAATACCACAAAAAACAAATAATGGATGTGTTAATCAGCTTGTTTTGATCATGCCATGTTTGTACATACTGTGTATCAAAACACTGCAGGGTAATCCACAAATACACACAATGATGATTTGTCAATTACACTAAATAAAAAAATAAAATTTAATTTACCTTGTCAGTCATATCATGTTTAAGTGCCTTTGTTCCATCAAAGCAAAATGCTTTGATGGAATTCAGTCCTAACAACAAAGCATTCTGCTTTATTTTTTCCACTTTGTTGGGTATTTTATCCAGTGCTATTGCTTCTCCCTAAAGAAAATAAAATTCACAAAACAAAGCATAAATCCAAAGCAGCGATGAAAATACAAAATTAGCTTGTGAAAAAATATGGTCCCATTTGTACTTTTAACATTGTATTCCTTAACAAACACACAGCAAATTTATACCAAATACTGAGGTCTTTCTTTTAAAAAGATACTCTTATCAGATAATTAATCTTATAACTATCTACTTTTAAACAAGGAATCAAAACTTCAAAGTGCTTGCAACCTACTCAAACTTAAAAAGCACTTGTAGTAGAATAAAAACTGGTGCTCAACTTAAATACCAGCTGAACTGCCTCAGCACGGTGCTGAGTAGAGATGGCCCACCTGAGGAAAGTTGCCAGCATAAAAGGATGTGGAGACAAACACCATGGCACTGTGGGTTCTCCTAAGCGGTGTTGTTTGGAGCTATTGGTTGTCTTAGAGGAGCTTCTCATGGCCAGCTTCCCTGACGAATTTGGCCATTACCATTGGAGGAGCTCAGGACCTTGTCGTTAAGAGTGGCTGCGGTTCACTTTGGGAGAGCTCTGGTCCTTATGTTAACATCACTTCCTGACTACAGAGGGGAAGAAGAGCACTGTTTAATCTCTAGAAGTTTGTCACACTGGCATCCTGATATGAATTCAGCTGTTCTCAACATAGGAGGAGCTTGGGACCTTGCTGGGGCTGAGAATGGCTGTGGTACTTTTGGGGGGGGGGAGCCCTGGTCCATACTTTGAGTGTTGCTTCTTGGCTCCAGTGTAGAACCCTCAATCCACTGGCACAGATTCTTCACTCCGCTGGCATAGAATATTTTAGCTTCTACCACTGACCTTTGGGTCTTACCAGTGCAGATCCATAAAACAGACTTACTTGAGTCACTGTTATGGACTCTATGGACTCTATAGACCTCCGTGGGACTCGTGGGAGGCACTGCCATGGGCTCTAGGGCTTCAGCTGGACTCACACAGGGTACTGCTATAGGATTCAGGCCCTAAGCTGGACTCCTTGGGTCTCAATGTGTGGACAGATTTCCTGCACTTCTTGTATTTGACCATCTAGGTGACCATCATAAAATAATACTATCAGTGATGTGTACTCAGTGTCTTGTTCTCCCTGCGGCCCCTAACTACAACACTACCCATTGAAAGCAAACATTAAAATCACTTATTTGATGTGATTGTTCACCTACAGAAGTGCATGAACTAATGCATGAGACATCTGAGCTAAAATGCCTTTATAGGTAAATGAATGCCACTTATAAAATCAGCCCTCTATAATATTTTGAGCTATTCACATAAAATTTCTGTGAGTTCTAGCAATTAAAGCCAGAAAATCAGAAGCCAAAAAGCTCTGTACCACAGCAAAACATCCTAGAACAGTATTAAAAATATGTCAAAAATCCTCATATATGGTAACACATCAGTTAAGTCGAAGTCAGTAAAGATGAGAGACCACCACCATATAGGCATGCATTGTTGACATTCACGTGATATTTTAAACATACAACGATACAATATTATGAAATAAGATGGTGGACTGATTCCTTTTTTCTTGCTTTTGTTGCTCATATGTATGTATACACATATATCATCCTTATATGATATGTACATCAAATTCTCTGCTTCACAAGAGAAAGAAATTTATAGTATAGACAACAATAAAGAATATTTGCTGATAATGCTCCCACACTGTGACAGACACTTACTGGAGCTCAGCCTTGTCATTTGCTTGGCCCTGGGGGCCATGGTAAATGTGGTGAAGCAGAGTGCTCAACTCTGCTCTCTGCCATCACCAGTCCCCAGCTACTACCCTTAGTGGGCTCACTCTCTTGTCTTTGCAGAAAAAGTACAGACCAGAAAGGCAGGGCAGCACCACAGCTGTCTCACCTGAAGTCACTTTAGAGAACTGAAAGCCATACAAACTGAAAACCATACAAGTGAATGACTCAACCCTAAATTACCAGAACCCCCTAACCAAGCTGGAGCTGACCAGGAGCTCCGAAGGTATCAGCTGAATCATGCAGACTCCTGAGCCCAACAATCACTTATGTGTATGCTACTAAGTTTATATTTTTTTACATTGCATTTTAAAGTCAACTAACTAGTTGAAAACACCTCTTACTAGAGAGAATAAAAGGACTTCAAGGAACTACACCATACAGGGCACTACTATCACTATCTCAAAGCATATCACAATCTACATTTAAGCTCCCATATAGATTAAAAATGATTTGTATTAAACACAACTCCATAAAATGAACCTTTGTATTTCATGTATTTCATTTTATGCACTATGAGCATTTAAGGCATTTTTCCATCAAGGTTTTCCTGCTACTAAATTCTTGAAGTATATTTTTTCTGTATTTCTCACTATGTAATATCATGCGTATTGATTCCTCAATATTTAAACAGGTATCTTTTTCTATTGGAGAGATTCCTTAAAACTGAAGCTACTTGTTGAGGTTGTATCAGGGACACCGCAAATTCTATGTATAGTGAATATATATAGTACATATATACATAGTGAATGTGTGTGTAATGCAAAGATAGTACTCCTAGGCCTTCAATTTACTTACTTAAAATATGATTCTTTAAATGTATTATATATCTAAAACATATACTATATAGATATATAAAAATATATAATGTATAGACATATAAATATATATAAATAATATATATATTATCCCCTTTGTTTATAATACTGTATTTTCAGAAATTCTAATAAAGTTACGTACTAAAGTGTAATGGGAATTTTCATCAAAATTCTTTGGATAATTAATATACTAATGGAGTATAGCTCAGTGGCATGGAACCTGCCTGGGAAGTGCAAAGTCTTGAGTTCAGTTCTTGGTTCAAAAAAAATTAATATATTAATAAAAGGAAATATATAGCTTCAACCTAATGGTAGATATTTCTACTTTTTTCAATGAACTATTGCTTGCAAGTCCCTTGAGACTGTTAAGAATTATCAAATGTAGAGGAAAAATGAGTTTATCACTTTGGAGAGTGAGAGTATCTTCTATCAAGTAAATCAGCTAGAGCAAAGGGGCTTTTGTAAGTCTGACGTGGGTAAGTTTTTTACGTCAGTTACATACTTTCTTATATATACACTAGTACTACAATCATAACATCTTTTTCGACCACTCCTCAGACAGTTTCCAGGTAATCAGACTCTTCTGTTTCCCTCCTACACTGCCAGCCATTCCCTATATCTGCAACTTATGAATGCTGGTATTCACTATTCACATGGCTCACTGTTCGGAACCTTTCTATTCTCCATCAGCCTGTCCGTATGTTGATGATTCCCAAATTTTTATGTGCAAAGCAGACCTCTCCCCTAGACTCTGGTCTCACAGTTTACTGCCTGCTCATCTCAGTCTGAACCCAGAGCCAAGCACACGCTAGGTAAGTACACTACCCCTGAGCCACACTCTCAGCCCTTCAGTGATTTCTGAACATAGATAAATCCAGCCTATAAAAAAAAAGGAAACAACTTAGCAAATACACACGCATAGGCAAACAAAGTAACACTGAAATGAAAGTTATCAAAAGCCAGGCTTACTTAAATTCTGTGCTCAAGAAACAGGCTTTAAAATTAAACCAGATCATACAGTTTATAAGATCCTTAAGACACACCTGTGTATATATTATCTCCATATGTGTATAATTACCTAGGCTATCTTCTGAGTTCAAAACCAGCCTGAACTACAGAAGACTGTATGAAAAAAAAAAAAAAAAAAAAAGAAGTCTCAGGACAGTCTTAATAAGTGGCAATTATCTTTTCTTTTCTTTTTTTTTTTTTTTTTTTTTTGTAACAAGGTCTCACTGTGTAGGCTGGTTTAGCCTTTGAGTTTGTACCAGTCTGGCCTTGAATTCACAGTCATCCACTTGCTTCAGCCTCCTGAGTCTGCGATTACAGCAGTGTGCCACCATACCCAGGTATAAGTGGCAGCTGTCTACTGACCTTAAGCTACAGTGCCTGCCATAACCCAACAGTCCTCACTCTGGCTGAACAGGAAGTAAATTGGATTACGGTATCAGTGTGATCCCAAGTCACACACAGTCCCACCTTCACCACTGAAATCTGTAGCATGTTGATGACTTTTCTTGGGAGACAGACTCACCTGATCGTGCATCAGTGCTGCAATATGTGTTGCTTTACCTCCAGGTGCTGCACACAAATCTAGAACCCTCTCTCCGGGCTGAGGATGTAGAACGTGAGCTACTACAGCAGTTGGTAAATTCTATAAGAAAAATGATGCAAGTACTGTTCAATGACTCTAATCAATTCTAATTTCAGAATGAGAGAGTGTAAAGAAAACTTTTGAGATAATTCAGCACAGTATCCTCAAATTTGGTAACAACAGTTTTTACAAATATACTAAGTCAAGAAAGTTGCAGTTTCCTAGAGTATACTATGATCTCATGAGAACTACATAACATATCCATACAGGAAAACAGGGTCCAGGGGTTTAGCTCAGCTGCATAAGTGCCTGCCTGGCAAGCACGAGGTCATGAGTTTGATGACCAATACCAAAAAGAAAAAAGAAAGAAAGAAAGAAAACACAGGACACATTTTCTACTCCATTCATTCAATTGTCAATTGATGGCAAATAAAGTACCATCATCCTCTAAAGTAGTTCTACAAATAAATTACCATCATCCTCTAAAATAGTTCTCAATCCTGGATACACAATAAAATCACTTGGTGAGCTTAGGAAAAAATCTGGTCCCCATACAGAAAAGTTAAATGAGGATTTCTAACGACGGGGTTGATCGTGGTGCTTTAAAAATCTTCCCCAGAGATTCTAACATGCATCTAGCTGTGCAGTAAGGCTAGCCAGTGCATCTCCAACTTAGCTATACAACCACCCAGTGAAGCTTCTCAGTGTTCCAACTCAGGCCTGAACCAGGAATAACTGAAACACTTCAGATGCTAGGGCCCAGATAGCAGAATTTATTTACTGCTCCCTGGTGGTCCACCTTTCTCTGACCCTTTAATCAAATGTGTGCAAGAAAACAGGCAGTCAGAGTTCAGTTTGAGGCATTATTTTGCTTTCCTCCAGTTAAACTAGAATATGATGACAGAGTATGTGTTCAGCCAGAAATAACCTATACATCTGAGAAACTGGATTGTAAGAAAAAGTTCTAAGGACAGTCACGGTATAAATTTCTGGACTTTGTGGTCCCTGCACTTCTTGGAAGAGCAAATCATGCCCCTTGCAAATTACCCCTCTGACTCCTGTTACACCTGCTGTTCCCAGTCACATCCTTAGGGCACTGGGCCCTGGTAACATTGTGGTGACCCTTTGACCAGGTGGTCTCATTTACTTGTATTTTCTATTGGGGCTTTTGACTGCACTGAGAGATTTAGGTTGCTGTGCTGGTTCCAACCAGGTGCACAAACTCCTCCTCCAGACAAGAGGGTGGAGATCCACAACTGATGGAAAGGAAGCTGCATTAATTACCACATCCTAGCCACTGCCCAAATTCTACACAGAACCAGAAAACCTGACCCGGCCTCACTGTCATCGACATATCTGGGCAGTGCCCATTCTCAGTCTTTGAGGGTGTATTTATTACCTGACCTGTAACACTGAGCCTGCAGAGTGCACTGTACTGTGTCTGAGTAAACACGCTTGCTACAAACTACTCCCTTTTGACTGTGTCTCATTTTGTGCACTCCCTGCCCACCTCAGGGAGGACTCAAGAGCCCACCCACCACAGGACTGAAAGCACTCCAGAGTAATTACAGTGACCAAACAAGAGCTATGAATTCTTCAAAGTGTAACTTCCTTTTCACAAGTTCACTGGTAACTGAACATTCAAGAAACTCATCAGTTTTCGGAAGCTATAGGCCAGTTCAGGCAGCCAGGGGAAAGGAAGAGATAGGGAGGGATGAAAAGGAATTATCAGTGTTATGTGTGTGTACCAACTCCACACAAGGAATGCAAACACTGCAAACAGGTAGTAATGAAAAGTAAAGTATGCATGCAAACACCGAATTTAAAAAACAATAGCACAGATTACTAGAGAATGTCATCTTGCATGAAGATGCAGTTTATGATTGAACTTTTTAAAATAAATTTTAAAAACACTTTGAAAACCCCAAGGACAGCTGAGCTTGCTAACACATGCTTGTAACCCCAACACTCTGAAAGCCTGAGGCAGGAGGATCTAAAAGTTCACGTCCCGCAGAGGCAAATGGTAACTTAGCAAGACCCTGTCTCAAAATATAAAAGGGAAGGCGGGTGTGTTTGCACACACCTGGAATCCAAGTACTTGAGAGGCTGAGGCAAGAGGATCAGCCAAGTTCAACAACAGCCTGGGTTCCATAGTGAATTCAAGGCCAGCATGAACTACAAAGCAAGACCTTGTCTCAAAAAACCAAATAACAATAAAATAAAAACAATCGAGATAAAGGAAAGTAAAAAAGGGTTGGGGATATAGCTCCATGCAAAGGTCCAGTGGTCCATCTCAGTTAGGTTGGGTGTGGTTAGATGGGACAGGGTGGAACAGAATCAAAGTAAAATACCATCACAGATTTTTCTACTGGCCAGATTTTACACAGCAAACAGGAAAGAAAGCAGCAAACGAGAATATCACTTTGACTTCAGTTGCAACTTCTGTCCCAAGGAACCAAGTGTTTCAATGTATGCACAGCCCCACTTCCTCTCCAGCTCTTCAGTGAGCTGGGGTAGGGGTAATTTTCCTTCTTAATGACAAAATCCAGAAGCACAGGAGTTAAATGGCTGTTCCAGGAACATTATGAGCAAAACTACGAAAAGGAAATGGTCTCTAGTCTGGAGGTCTCTACCGTGCCAACAGCTGAGTTTTGAGGCCTAGGGTGAGGGAAGGCCTTATTGCTACTAGCAGCTGGATCAGCAACCCTAGTTTTCTTATTTGTATGGGAGATAAACCCATCAACTCTCTGGGGAATGTGGAGTGGTGAAAGCCAGGGAATCCTTCTTCACTGTCTCTGTTGGCAACACACATTTGCACAGCCTGGCAGTCCCCAGTGTTTATGTGTTTCCAGAGAAATCTGTTCTTTTATCGACTACTGGATCTTTTTAAAATCAGAGGGTACTGGAAAGTGTATCAGTTAGAAATACTTTTATCTTGAAATTTGTCTTAAAAACTACCAATTATTTCGTATTGTTCCATCTCCAATAGGAAGCAGGTAAAAGTAGTAAGTCTAAGCTATGTACAGGGCTCATCAAGCTAGTATCATACTAATAAACACTCACTGCCAAAATACACCACCTCTATACAAGTCCTACTGTTTTTAAAATTCAGAACCAGAAAGTAGACAGATGGTTTTATTCACTTACTCCTTTAATTTAAAGAATGCCTGCTATTGCACACACCAGACACCAGCCTGTGCACCACAGTTAAAAAGAGCTTGCCCCTTCCAGGAAGGAAGTAGAGATTTCATCTCCTGGCCTGCACTCCTGTCCTTTTTATTATAAATACTATAACATGATATCTTCTTGTACATACCATAAATTACAAGAAATTAAATCCCAAAAGTAGCACAAAGCCCTTACAACTTAAAAGCATCAGACCTGTTGACAATTAACAATTGATAAGTGACAGGTGAGACAAAAATTCCTTAATTACAAAGCCATGATACGTAGCATTTTTATACTTCAAGGATCTAAGTGTACATAACGCACATTTATATAAATTAGCAGTCTTAGATCATGTAACACATGAATGAACATAACAGTTAAGTTTTTACTTTTTGCTCTGTACAAATAGTGTTTACTTTTAAATATATTTCCACTGATTCAGTATTCAAAGTGTGGTCCTCAAACCAAGGAGATCCAAAATCCTGGGAACTTGTCAGAAATATAACATTTCACAATTCACCTAGACATACAGTCAGAATCTGCATTTTAATGAACTTTACTAGATTTGTATTACATTTTCACAAAAAAGTTTAGGAATATTGTTGTATATGATATGGATTAAAACTAACTTGAGAATAAGCCAAAGCTGGGACACTTTGAGCATTTAATAATTAAAGACAATAATGAATTATAGACCATGTGAGAATAAAAATTTGTCAGTACATACTATTAGAAAATAATAGGGTGTGAGGGACCTCGTATTAAAATGTTGGCTGTTAAATATAGAGGTGTTACGGCTTATATCTAGATGTCTTCCTCAATCTCATGTGAACATAGCAGAGAGCATTTTGGAGGCGGCTGAATGTAGGATGTGTGTTGCTGGGATCAAGAATGTGGTGTTGGGATTGATTCAGGTTGCAATGCTAGGATTGAGGTTGGGCAGCCTGGACAGGATATTAAAGACAGGACTGCTGTGGTCACTTGCCGCTTGCTGCTTCTGCCTGCCATGAACCATTTTTCCTCTGCATTGTACCTCTGCAAAGTCACCCTGCCTTGGAGTTGGTCGATTATGAATTGAAACCTCTACAAACTGAGCTAAAATAAACCTTTCCTCCTTTAACTTTGGGTGTCAGGTATTTTGTCTCAGCAACAAAAAAACTAAGACAGAATTGTAGGCTGAAGTGGGAAAAGACATCTTGTAGTCATGACTAGCTCAGGCAATAATTATAGGTGGATGCTAAACTCAGAGCAAATTTTAATGAGCAGTGTATTCAGATAATTCTTAGTCTCCCCACAGACTATTAGTTGCACAGGGAAAAAAAGTGATTTTATGTTTTTATGAAAAATGAGATGTTAAAAAGGTGACCAAAATGAACAAGGCCAATGAGAAACACACAGATGTGATGCAGACGTGATGCCCTCAGTCTGATACATCTGTGAACTTTTGTGCGACACATGACAGACAGCCTACAGCATCAATAAGTAAGGGAAAGAAAAGCAAAATAAGAAAGCTAAGGATTCTGCCTCCTTCTTATATAATGGAATTTCAATTTTAAAAAAGCACAGTCTATTGCAATAGTGGAAGCACATCAGGGAAAATGTTATTTCCCCAAGTACAACAATTAGACAACTGAAGACAAACTGAAAACAGAAAAGCCAAATAAGAAATAAAAGTTGACTATAGACAAGTGAGAATTTGCTACAATTAAGGGAATAAATAAAGTTGAAATTGTGTAAAGCTTGAAGTTTAGTGTAAATCCAATGCATGATGTTAAACAATTGTTGGTTACTATTTGGGGAAATCTAAAGGTTATTTCCTTTTAGGGTGGTTCACAAACTTGGATTTAATCACATTACATTTATGAAGTTCAAAATATACAAACAAATGAAAAGCCGATTTCCAGCATCCATCTCAGACCTAGTGAAGCTAAATTTCCAGGGAACCCCCCATTGCCCAGCTATGGCAAGGCACTTCATCTCCGTGGCAGATCAGAGTCGTTCATGCCGCCAGGGAATCTGCTCCTGTTTTGCAGCCCTTCCCAGGGTTATGTGTGGGGCACTGACATCAGTCAGGAACACATGCTCCAGGACAGAAAGATCTAGGTTCACATTTTGACTTTGCTGATTTCTACGGATGTGGTATTCAACAAACCACTCGTTTATCACTTGAAAAATACTAACTGCCTACTGTGTGCTACGCACTTCATTTCTTTAAGCCCCAATTTCCTTATCGGTGAGAGTAGAAGTCTGTGGGGAGTGCATGAAATAGTGAGTGTAAAACACACTAAGTAAGTGTTAGCTACTACTGCCATTATCATCTTTAGTAAGTTTCACTGGTCAGCGACTGGACATCTGGATAGATTACATAAACAGTTCCTGCAAAAGAAGGGACAAAAGTTCAGCTCCACTCTCGAATACAAAAGCTTTACTCCAACGGTAAAGTCTGATGTCTTTTTTATAGAGTGGCAAAGAATACTACTATTATTATTAATTTTTTGGCTAAGGGAAGGTTTCCCTGCATAGTTCAGACTGGCCTTGAACTCACTTTATAGCCCAAGCTGGACTTGGATTTACGGCAATCCTCCTGCCACAGACTCCTAAGTGCTGGGGTTATATGTATGCACTGCCATGTTGCCTGGCTGCGAAGTACATTAGTATATTATTAGTCACAGTATGTCTCACACTGTGTACTTCATGAGGTCCTCATTAAGCTGATTCTAAAATGAAGGGCTGTGCTGATCTTACTATAGGTTTCAGGGTATCTAAAGAAAAAAATTGCACAGTACTATATTTTTTATTTTCCAAACTAAATATAGAATAAGCAGATATTCCTGCCCAGCCTGTTTTGTTTGTTTGTTTGTGGGTTGGTTGGTTTTTTTGTGGTGCTAAGGAGCAGACCCATCATGCTACAAGTAGTTCACTGCAACCAGGAGCCTAGTTTTGACTTGTTTTGTTTTGTTTTGTTTTGTTTTGGGAGGGGATCCCCGCAATCAAACTCAGGACCTTGTGCTTGCCAGGAAGGCCTTGTGGTGCTAAGCTACACCCACCGCAGAGCCTGTTTTTGAGTAAAAGGTGTACAAATGACTGTATCACATACAGAATGTTTTTCTGACCCTACTTGCAGGGTTGGGTAGTGTAAAAAACCTTTATATTTATTGTTCTATGCTGGAAAAAACATCAAACAGCAAATCCCAATCAGACTTTCTCTTAATTCCCTTCCACTAGTTTCCTTTTTCTTAATTCCAAACTGCTCTCTAGTCTTCATTTCTTTATGTTCATGTTAAAGATTGCATCAGATTAAAATATACCTCCAGGCTAAAATTTAGTTTCTTACCAAATATGACTCCACCTCCAAGTCAGTTCATCTGCCACATACATAACCAAACAGTGTATTATAACACTATTCCTCATTAACACCTAGCTGGACAGTATTAAATAAACTGCCATGTAGAACACACAAACTGTATGGTAAATATACAGTGAAGCACAACAGGCTTAGTAGCATTGTAGGAAATTAAAATCTTAGAGGGCAAACAACTTTGGTTAACAAGAAAGGTAAAAAAGCAATAATTTTATTTTTTAAAATTTTTTATTTTAAAGAGAATGCAAGAACCAGCGTCGCAGGGAAGAAGACCCCAAGGACTCAGCTCGTAGTGAGGAGTAAAAAGTTTATTTCCATGCGCATGGGGTCCCCCAGGCAAACAAATGCGGAGGGCCCCGAGGGGGAATTGTGTAGGGTTTTTAAGGGCGCAAGCGGGAGGCAAGCAAGTTTACAGAAGCAGATTGCATTGGTTAATTTTGAGCAGCATAGGATTTGGCAGAAATTGATTGGAGGGGTTTGGGGTTGAGTAACCATGGAGACTGGGGGTACTAGCCCAGTCACTATGTGCCCAGAACAGAACAGTTACTTGTCTTACTTATCTCGTTGAGACAGAACAACCTTGCAGGTGTATTCTTTCTTTTTTTTTTTTCTCTGCTCTGATAGCTCTGGGGAGTTAGGCATTTTTTTCTGCTCTGCTCTGATAGCTCTGGGGATTTAGGGAGTTAACCCTTTCATTCCCCGCTCTGGGGAGTTAGGGAGTTAACCCTTTCATTCCCCGCTCTGGGGAGTTAGGGAGTTAACCCTTTCATTCCCCCCTTCTTCTTGTAAATGGCCTTTAATCCTAAAGGCCTTGCATGGGCAGGGGGTCATACTGTTGACGTAGCACCATAACTTTTACTTGAGAAATCTGGGTCCTCACAAATTGAGTTACTCGATTAATGAGGCAAGGGGCTATAGCCATAACTATAATGAACCCGGCCAGTGGTCCCAGTAAAGGGAGAATATAGGGCAGAATTGACTCCCAGAAGGAGAACACTTTGGTCTCACTTAGAGAGGGCTCTTGGGATTTGATTTTGTCTCTCAGCTTTTCCATTGCATCCCTCACAATTTCAGTATGGTCGGTGTAAAAACAGCATTCTTCTCTAAGTGTGGCGCAGAGACCCCCCTCTTTTAAAAACAGTAAATCTAGGCCCCTCCGGTTTTGTAACACTACTTTAGATAGTGACGTAAGGGATTGTTCTAGTGCAGTTATAGATCCCTCGAGGGCCTTTAAATCTTGGTTAACAACTGCGAGGAGCTGTTGGCGGGACTGGTGTCCAGTAATGAGGGCTGCTGTACCAGTCCCTATGCCTCTCGCTACTCCTATCCCCAATAATACCGCCAGGGTCAGGGAAACCGGTTCTCGTTTACTTCGGCCCCTCATGAGGAGGAGCATGTTGGGTGGGAGTTACTTAATACGAGGCATGAGGTCTATGAGGATACAGGAGCTATTGTCTGCAAGGAGAACATTTGTGGAGACACAAGGGGTGAGTCCAGTGGTACATAACCAGAATGCCCAAGGGGGAGGAAGGAGATACTGATTTTTGGGAAAGGAGTTGACGTGTATGAGGCAGTGATGGCGTAGGTCTGTCGGCCAGTTATCAACTGTTCCTATACAGGTCCCTTGACTGGCGAGGCCCGGAAGGGGGAGAGTGTGGTATACTTGATTCCACTCGCATTGGTCGGGTTGGGGGTTAATGTATAAGAGTCATTTAGAGCAGTCCCTTCATAGTATGGAGGGTTAGGACTTAGACATAGCCAACAGGATCGGGCGAGGTCCGGATGGGTAAGATTGAGGGCTCTATAAGCCCCGTGTATGAGACTAAGGAGGGAGCTCACAGTTGGAGGGATGAGCCCCAAATCAGGAGGGTTAGTTGAATACCCGGAAAGGGTGAGAGGTGAGGTCGTGGGCCCTTGGCTTTGGGTAGTCACGGGCATAGGGGATGAGAGCCCTTTAGCAATTGTTGGGGCTGGTGTTGGCGGTAATGGTTTTGTCTTTAACTCCTTTTTAATAAGGAAAAACCCCCCTATGTCAGGTCCACTCATATAGTATCTAAATCCCCAAGTTTTTCCTGTTGTCCAAGATTGGTCCTCAGGGGTGAGGACTTTGAGTTGTAAATGTTGGCAATTGCCTGGTCCCCCGTCAAAAGAGTGAAGGCTCCTTTTTGACAGTGGCAAAGGGTCCTTGTGTTGGCCACTCCCTGTTCCTGACAAGCTAAGGTGTCGATCTTTTATTGAGAGAGTCCATGCTGTGGCCACTGTCTCACATCCCCAGTAGGCACAGTAGTATTCACCTGGGGAATTACAGTAACTTCTCTCTTCCACAGACGCGGGACACAGATATATTCCCAGGGGGAGATCTGCATTGGGATCAAGAGGAGCAAGATCACATGAATAAAAACTGAAGGTTGGATGGCCTGACCCTATCCATCTGTCGACCTCTTTTGGTTATCCCACCTAATCAATGACCAGACCCAAGGACGGTGGGGGTTTGCCATCACGGGGGTAACTAACATGAGTAATCCCATTAGGGCCCAGGGGGTTACAGCCTGGGGTTTTGGTTGGGTCATCTCGTAAGGACGCACAACAGAAGGGTACAGAAACAGCGTTAGGGAGTCTTTCGGCTCAGTTTAAGCTTTAGGGGGTGATCAGACCGTTTGAGTTCCCAGGAGTCGTCCTCTGGTGCTGAGGCAGGCTTTAGATGCGACGCGTGGATCCAAGAGGCGATCCCGTCAATCTTTACCGCCGTAGGAGTAGTCAGTAGGACCTGGTATGGTCCTTTCCAGCGAGGCTGTAGAGTCTCTTGTTGGTGGCGCCGGACGAGCACGAAGTCTCCCACCTGGTACGGATGTGGTATAGGAGACTCGCTGGGGGCGTAGGCTGAGGCTAGTTGCATCCACAAGTCCCTCTGCAGGCTGTCGAGGGCAATGAGCCTGTCAGACAAAGAGGTTGGTAACAAGGTAGTATGTTCAGTTAAGGGAGTGAGATCTCGAATTGGGAGTGGAGTGCCAAAGAGGATCTTGAAGGGGGTGAGGTTAGGGGGTTTGGCAGACGGGGTGTTTCGTGCACGAAAAAGGGCATAAGGCAGGAGCATCATCCAATCTTTTAAGCCAGTCTCATGAGCTAATTTAGTGAGGGTCTCCTTAATAGTTTTATTTATCCTTTCTACCTGTCCTGAACTTTGGGGTCTATAAGCACAATGTAACTTCCAATCAATCCCCAATATGTTGGCCAGTCCCTGACTTACCTTAGCCACAAACGCCGGCCCATTATCAGACCCTATTACCTTTGGCAATCCGAACCGGGGAAAAATTTTTTTCATCAACTTCTTTGTGACCATGGCAGCAGTTTCCTTTTTGGTAGGAAAGGCCTCAGTCCATCCAGAAAAGGTGTCCACAAAAACTAACAGATATTTTAGTCCATATCGGGCAGGTTTAACTTCTGTAAAGTCCACCTCCCAGTGTTGTCCAGGCCTGGCACCGCGTAGCCTTTTGCCTGGAGCCAGCTTGGTGGGATAGGCATTGGTTAATTGACAAGCCTTGCAATTAGTCACAACCCGTGTGGCAACCTGACGTATGGCAGTGGGAGATACCCCCGGGAAATCTTGGCGTTGAGCCAGTAGACATAGTTTCTTAACCCCTAGATGGGTGAGCCGGTGGGCCTGTTGAATGTAAGCAGTCAGGTCTGACGCCTCAAAGGCTGGGTTATTTTGGGCTTCCTCCGGAGGAGGATTTTTGACATCAGTCACCAACATCTGTGAGTTTTTCATGGCCGCAGATCTTGCTGCCTGATCGGCCAGGTTATTTCCCTTTGTAACGGGATCAGTCCCTTTTTGGTGGCTGTTACAGTGTACTATCGCCACCTTCTGGGGTAACATGACTGCGGCTAGCAGTTGAAGAATTTCTTGTTTGTGTTTTATTTCTTTGCCCGCAAAAGTTACAAGTCCCTGCTGGCGGTATATGGCCCCGTGGATGTGGGCCGTTGCAAAAGCATATCGGCTATCTGTGTAAATGTTTGTTCGCTTTCCTGCGGCGAGCTCTAGAGCCTTAGTCAGAGCGATCAGTTCGGCCTTTTGAGCCAAGGTTCCATCCTGTAGCTTGGCTGCCCAGATAATATTGGAATGATCAGTCACAGCCGCCCCCGCATACCGCTTACCTTGAATCAAGAAGCTACTCCCATCGGTGAAGTAAGTCACCTCCACATCGGACAGGGGGCAATCCAGTAAGTCCGGCCATACTCCGGCCTCTCCTGCCAAGATGTCCTGGCAGGTATGGAAGATGGGTTCTGAGGTTTTCTCCGGCAGCAGGGTCACTGGGTTGAGAGTCACTGGAGGTCTGAAAGTTATTTTGTCTTTATTGAGTAAGAGACTCTGATAATGAGTAATTCTGGCATTTGAGAGCCATCTATCCGGAGGTTGGTGGATGATACTTTCTAGTGTATGCGGGGCAATGATTGTTATTCTTTGTCCCAAAGTTAATTTATCAGCATCTTTAATGAGCAAGGCCACTGCTGCGATCGCCTTTAAACAAGGCGGCCATCCATTCACCACAGGGTCTAGTCTCTTTGAGAGGTAAGCCACCGGTCGCCTCCATGGTCCGAAGGCCTGGGTCAATACTCCCCTCTCTATTTCTTTTCTCTCTTCAATGAAGAGAGTAAAAGGTTTGTCTATGTTGGGGAGGGCCAAGGCCGGAGTGGATAGGAGGGCCCGCTTGATGGCATCAAAGGCATGTTGGTGGTCTTTTTTTCAAGCAAAGGGAGATCCCCCCTTGAGTAGTGGGTACAGGGGAGCCTCCAGGGTTGCGAACCCCAGGATCCACAGCCGGCAAAACCCTGCAGTACCCAGAAACTCCTGTAGCTGTTTTTGGTTCTTTGGAGGGGGAATCTGGACCACAGTCTGTTTTCTAGCTTCAGTAAGCCATCTTTTTCCCCCTTTCAAGGAGTAGCCCAGGAAGATTACCTCTTGTCTGCAGATTTGGGCCTTTTTTGCCGATGCCCTATATCCCAAGATAGCCAACTCACATAAAAGGTCTTGGGTTCCGTTGGTGCAATCGCCCTCAGAGTCCGCGGCCAGCAGCAAGTCATCTACATATTGGAGGAGGGTGAGGTTCGGGTGTTGAGCCCGGAAGGGGGCTAAGTCCTTGTCTAGAGCCTCATCAAAGATGGTTGGGCTATTTTTGAAGCCCTGTGGGAGGCGCGTCCAGGTCAATTGTCCGGTGGACCCAGTTTCGGGGTCCGTCCATTCAAATGCAAACAGGGGTTGGCTATCTTTATGCAAAGGCAAACAGAAAAAGGCATCTTTTAAATCCAGGACCGTATACCAAGTCTTTGATGGATTTAAGCCACTGAGGAGATTATAAGGATTGGGTACGGTGGGGTGAATGTCTTCCACCCTGCTGTTGACCTCCCTCAAGTCCTGTACTGGTCTGTAGTCATTTGTCCCAGGCTTTTTGACAGGGAGCAACGGGGTATTCCATGCAGACCGGCAAGGGGTCAATACCCCTTGGTCTAAAAGTCTCTGTATGTGTACCTTGATCCCCAGGTGGGCCTCTCTATTAATGGGATATTGTTTAACTCGAATAGGAGAGGCGGTGGCTTTTAGAGTGACCACTACAGGCGGTTGCTGGCTTGCCAGCCCGAGTCCAGCTGTCTCAGCCCAGGAGTCTTTAAAATCAGTTAACCAGGCAGGGGAGATGGGCTGAGGGTCTTGGTGGTCATAGAGCCTGTATTCATCCTCTAATTTTAGAGATAACACTGTAACCATGAGTTGCCCAACCTTTGGGTTGTGGAATGTCACCTGAGGTCCTTGGGGCTCAAAGGAGATTTTCGCCCCTAGTTTGGTTAATAAGTCTCATCCCAGAAGGGGAGCAGGGCATTCAGGAATAACCAGGAAGGAGTGTTTTACTTTTCCCTTGCCTAGGTCAACTGTGCGCTCGGTGGTCCATGAGCGATATTTGCTCCCGTTAGCCCCTTGAACTAGCGATTTCTTGGTTGAAAGGGCCCCTAAGGGGGCCTGAAGGGCCGAGTAAACAGCTCCCGTGTCGACCTCGAATTCCACGGGAGTCCCCTCCACCTTAAACATTACCCTGAGCTCGGGGAGGGGGACCGAGCCCCGAAGTCCCTAGTCCTCATCATCTAAGGCGAGCATGGGGGCTCGCTGTCACTGTGAGGACTGCTTTTCTCGTTCCTCTTTGGCTCGCCTCCTTTTTAGTTTTTCACAGTCTTTGATTAGGTGTCCTTTTTCTTTGCAATATGCACATTAGTCGGGGTCTAATGGGGGGCGATTGGGCTTTCCCTTTCCTGTCTCAGGCTTACCCTGAATAACTGTAGCCAACACTTTAGCCAATTCCTTGTTTCATCTTTTGTCCGTAGCTAACTCCTTTTCATCCTCTGTCTCCCGTTTATAGTAGACCTTTTCAGCTTTCTTAACAAGATCCCTCAGAGTTAGGTCTTGCAGACCATCTAGCCTTTGGAGCTTACGCCTTATATCAGGAGCCGATTGCCCTATGAAGGCCATGGCTATTGAGCCCTGTCGGCCTTCCTCTTCTGGGTTAAAAGGCGTGTACCATCAGTAAGCCTCCATCAGGCGTTCTAGAAAAACGGAGGGAGTCTCACTGGGCCCTTGAATTACTTTTCTTACCTTGGCCAAATTATTGGGGTGCGTTCCGGCCGCCCGGAGACCTGCCATTAGAGTCTGGTGATAGATAGAAAGATGCTGCCTACCGTTATGAGAGTTGGGGTCCCAGTCGGGGCGCTTTAAGGGGAAGAAATCGTCGATCAGGTCAGGTCTCTGGGTGGGTCTGCCGTTATCTCCGGGAACGGCTTTTCAGGCTTCAAGAAGGATGCGGTCTCTGTCCTCGGTGGTGAACAGGACTCCCAGAAGTTGCTGGCAGTCATCCCATGTGGGTTGGTGGGAGAACATGATCGAATCCATTAAGCCTGTTAACTTGGAGGGGTCATCAGAGAAAGGAGGGTTATTATTTTTCCAGTTATACAAATCTGAGGTTGAAAATGGCCAATACTGGAGGGCCGGCATTACTCCCTCGTCCGTCCCGTCACCGATAGTGGGCCCATAGGGACGGAGGGGGAGAGTGACCACTGGGTCCTCCGGTCGTTGTTTGCTACGAGTGTTTTGGGCTGGGCCTGCGAGTCCCAGGGGAGTGGACCCAGGACCAGCCACCGGCGGGAGCGTGGGGTATAGAGAAGGCGTGGGTGCCGGGGGAGAGGAGGAGTTTGATTCAGGAGAAGAGGGTGCCAAAGGGGGAGTAGCGCTCGATCTGGACGAAGAGGCTAGGGGAGAAAGTGGGTGTGGGGGAGGTTGAGCCTGAGAAGGAGGAGGTCAGTCATAGTCGAGCAGAGGGAGATCGGGCTGAGAATCAGGCAGGACCGGGGTGGGAGCCCTTTTTAGAGCTAGGAGTTTAGGTATAGAGGAGTCGGGAGGAGGAAGAAAGGGTTTCACCCATAGTGGGGGTTCCTCCCTGAGGTCCTGCCATACCAAGATGTAGGCAACCTGGTCAGGGTGGCCCTCTTGTCCGGGGCAGAAGATGATGCTCTTAACTGCTAGGATGAGGGGAAGGTGGAAGGTCCCCTCCGGTGGCCAACCCACGGAGAATGTGGGCCACTCAGACGAGCAGAAAGTCTGCCATTTACTTTTCTTGACCTGTAAGGAGAGATTGTGAGCCCTCTTCCGAACCTCCGACCAATGGTCAAGGGTGAGGGACAATGGGGATGAGGTCGATTGTCCCATGGCGTTCTAAAGTCACAGGGTGGTTAACGCAAGCGCAATACAACAAATATCCGAACACAACACCTGCAACACACAAGACGAACAGGCCGGCCACCTCACTCTCACGCATTAGTCTCACACCAAACGAGTCACCTTAGGAGGTGCCTCCAGATTGGTCCGGACGGAGCACAGATTGGGAATGAAATTCCCCAGACGAGCCACCCCGGTGGGTGCCTCCAGATTGGCCCGGACGGACCACAGATTGGGAATGAAATTCCCCAGATGAGCCACCCCCGTGGGTGCCTCCAGATTGGCTCGGACGGACGACAGATTGGGAATGAAATTCCCCAGATCGATAGGAAAACCCTATCGCAGACGGTGAGCCACGGAAAACCGTGTGGGGCGTCCCCCGGTCACCAGAGAACAGATAACAGAAATTGCCCCTAGATTGGAGCCGCTCGGCTCGGGGCGTAAAGTACTGGTAGATCGATCTCAAAATGAAAGTAAACAAAAGTGACCGGTCGTACTCACCCGCGGTGTAAGGCGGAGCCGTTGAGGTCGTCTCCCGTGAGACGTACTATCTCGCTGGGGCCTCCATATGTAAGAACCAGCGTCGCAGGGAAGAAGACCCCAAGGACTCAGCTCGTAGTGAGGAGTAAAAAGTTTATTTCCATGCGCATGGGGTCCCCCAGGCAAACAAGTGCGGAGGGCCCCGAGTGGGAATTGTGTAGGGTTTTTAAGGGCGCAAGCGGGAGGCAAGCAAGTTTACAGAAGCAGATTGCATTGGTTAATTTTGAGTAGCATAGGATTTGGCAGAAATTGATTGGAGGGGTTTGGGGTTGAGTAACCATGGAGACTGGGGGTACTAGCCCAGTCACTATGTGCCCAGAACAGAACAGTTACTTGTCTTACTTATCTCGTTGAGACAGAACAACCTTGCAGGTGTATTCTTTCTTTTTTTTTTTCTCTGCTCTGATAGCTCTGGGGAGTTAGGCATTTTTTTCTGCTCTGCTCTGATAGCTCTGGGGAGTTAGGGAGTTAACCCTTTTATTCCTCGCTCTGGGGAGTTAGGGAGTTAACCCTTTCATTCCCCGCTCTGGGGAGTTAGGGAGTTAACCCGTTCAAGAATAAAACAAAAGAGAACAGAACTAAACATTTCAGAACAGAGCAATGCAAGAAACACAGCACTTCACAAGACAACCCGATATCAACAGTAGCTACCATAGTATCTCTTTTCTTCGAAATAGTTGAGCATACTTTTACATACAGCAATATCAAACATAACAATATAGTATAAAACCACTGAAAAGAATGAAAGCATTACAGGATTTCAAAACCAAATGACAGGAAATGTATGATGGCTACTATAATATCTCATTTTCCTCAAAAATTGTCTATACCATCACACATAATAAAATCAAATAAAACACAACAAGACAGAACCAATCAAAACAGAAGAACAAAAGCATGGTAGGACTTCAAAACAAGATGATAGCAAATCAGCAATGGTTACCATAATGTCTCATTTTCTTTAAAATAGTTCATACCATCACACATAATAAAATCAAACAAAACAATCAAACCAATCAAACCAATGAATGAAAGCATTATAAGACTTCGAAGTAATATAATAGGAAACCATCATTACCATAATATATCTCATTATATTTAAAATAGCTGTCCCTACTATCTAACAGCATAAAATCTAACAAAACAAGACAGGGGCAATCTAACAGCTGACAATCAGGGATACATGACGTGGGGCTGCTTCTCTCAGCCTGTGTGTGTCTACACTGGAACTCCCATGATGGTGGCAGACACACAGGGGTGTATTTGTCTGATTCTGCTAGTGGATGATGGCTGTCTGAGGGATCCACAGGTCTCCAAAGGTGGCCTATGGATGCACAGGGCTTACCTGGCTGTATGTCTCTGCTCTTGCTGGCTGCCTGCAGGAAGGAGCCTTCTGGTGGCAGCTCCCTGAAGGTCAAGGTGGATCTGCTGGTTCTTTCTGCTCACACTGGTCACCTGTAGGACGTAGCCTTTTGGTGGCAGTGCACAGCAGGCAGAGGTGAATCTGTCTGTCTCCTTAGGTCTGTGCTGGGCATTTGGAGGAAAGAGCCTTCCGGTGGTGGCACCAGGCAGGCAAAGGCAGGTCCTGACACCCAAAATTAATGAAGGTTTATTTACTTTGCAGTTTGTGGAGGTTTCAATCCATACTCAGCCAGCTCCAAGGCAAAGTGGTGCATGACAGAGGAGCAACAGTTTATGATGATGGAAGACAGCAAAAGCAACAAGAAAGAAGCAAAGAAAGCAGATTCTTTCTGTCCTTAGACTGTATGTAAACTATCCACCCTAGGGTGGGTACAGCACTCACACACATAATCCCAGCATTGGACTATGAATCAATCACAAACTCTGCATACATGACCTCACAAGGCTTTGTGGGGGATATCCAGGCACAAACCATAACACTCCACTCCTGATCTCCCAAAGACTCTGCATATCCTTTATGTAAAAGGCATTTAGTCCATCTCTAAAGAGCTGCCAAAATCCTAACAGTTTCAGCACTTGCTAAAACGTCCGAGTCTCAAGTGTCTGAGATCTGAGGCAAATGTTTAGCTGTGAGCCCCCGTATAAATGAAAAGTTAGACATTTCCCACCATCAGTGGCACAAGATAAATATTTTCATTCCAAAAGTTACAAACAGAATACAAAGCATTGGGACCAAAGCAAATCTAAAATCCAGCAAGGCAAACATTAAATCTTGGAGTTACATAGCATCTGAGGCAATCAGTGGCAAATTGTGAGCTCCATGGAACTTGCATGGCTCCACCCCTATGGCACTTCCAGGGGCTTTAGCACCCACCGCTTCTCTCTTAGGCCCACTCTGCTCCCTCCTGGCAACTTTCCTTAGATGATTCACACTCCTGATTTTTCCAAACTTCTGAGTTCTCCACTGCACCTGTGGCTTCACTCTCACAACACACTGCCCTTTCAGGGGCACACTGCCTGGCCTCCTAGGCCTTCTTCTGAAATCTGGGTGGAAGCCTTTTTAACCTCAGAACTCTTGCATTCTATGTGTACCTAAAACCAGCCCCACATGGATGATGCCAAGGTCTGCTGCCAACTGGAGGGGCAGCCAGGCTTACCTTTCTCTTGGCTGCAGGGGTCAAGTGTCTGGATTGCTGGCCACTCGGAATCCAATTTGGAGGGAAAGTTCTTTATGCTGCTGCCATTCTGAAACATGGTGCTCTACGGCTTTCTCCTCAAAGTAGTCTTTCACATTTGCAGTTTTGAGGCTGCAAAGCGTGCTAACTTGCTGCTTTCTGTGATGTCATCAGGCTATCTTTTATATTCTCCGGTTACTTTTCAGCAACTAAGGTCTCCTTAGCTCTATCTTTCAGTCAATAGACTCTCTGCTATTCATTCACACCATAAATCTGGCTAAAAGCCCCCAACAATAGCCCCCATCACCTCAACATTTGACCGCCTTGAAATCCCTTCTGCTAGATTAATTAGTCAGTTGCTCTTAATCTTAGTTTCAGGAAAAATCTCTGGACACAAACAAAATGCAGACAAACTTCCTGCATAGCACACATCATCTGGAATCTAGCACCCAATGCAGTCCTTCTTCCCAGCAGAAACCTCCTGAGCCTGGTCTTTACTGGCAGGATTTCTATCAGTCTTCTGGTCTCTGAGCTCTGACCAGAATCTCTCATACAGCACAGCCTACGGTTTTCCAGCTCTACTCCTTCAGGAGATATCTCTGAACCTCTTCAAACTCTTCCCACAAGCCATTTTCACAGGCTCTCGAACCACAATGCCTCAGTACAGTCACAGCAACAACCTCACTTCTCTGGTACCATGTTCTGTGTTGGTTACTTTTCTCTCATTGTTGAGGCAAAATACTTGACATCCAAAATGAAGGAAGGAAAGGTTTATTTAGCTCACGGTTTACAGAGGTTTCAATATATACTCGGCTGGCTCCAAAGCAGGCACATGGCAGAGGAGCAACAGTTCATGGCAGCAGAAGATAGCAAAATCAACAACAGCAAAAGACAGGAGCACGAGAGAAGAGTCTTCCTGTTCCTCACATGTATGTAAGCTACCCATCCTAGGCTGAGTGTAGCAATAATCCTAGCATTGGACCATCAATCAGTTACAAACTCTAGAAGCCCACCTGCATGACCACATGAGGCTTTGGAAGTACATCCAGACACAAAACCATAATATACATCTTCCTAATGTGTATGCCATGTAAACAGTCACTACACTGTATTGCTTCAGAAATCCACATGGGAAATAAATGTGCACACAATTATCAATCAGTACAGGGCCTGAGCTCCCAATCACCTGCCAAAGGTTAGGCCTAGAAATGAAACAGACAGACAGAAATCATCATGCAAAATGGGGAACTGGGATGGTCAAAGTCAGTCTACATTTATTGGAATTTTAACATAAGTAATGAGCTTACAATGGGAAAAGAAGGTAAATAAAAGGCCTATCTGCTGATGTAGGCAGGGCCTGTGAAGTGAGGAGCAAAGCATTCTAGCACAGTTCAGGACAGCAGCTCAAAGTTAATAAGTAACCTGCTTAGCAGTTACTAGTTGGTCCGAGGAAGTACCATCCATGGCTGCAGTTTTTACCAGGTTTGAGCCTCTGCCCTGATCAGTGGTATGGGAGTAGGTTTCACTCAAATGCCAAAGGGAACCTCTCTCTCCCAGTCACACAGGCCTTGGACTTTCTCATATTAGTATTTTCCAATTATAAATAAGTCATAGTCTCTCCTGTTCAGCCTCAAAGTGCTACTTTTTTCAAAGATTTTTCTATGAAATTTGTAGAACCAGTGGGTGCAGAAGACCAACAGTCCCAACAGGTCAGGAGCTGGTATTTCAACATGTAAATTCTGGAGGGACCTAAATAGTACCACAATTCTCTACAAAATGGGGACAACGCTCCCTACTTTATGTTCACTACCCAATGCAATAACAAACAAGAATCATCAACGAACGATGGATTACTCTGCAAAGGTCTCCAAGTGCCAGCTTTCCCAGGACACCCAGGCTCCACATCTGGGCATGTAGTACTTTCCTGTGAAAAACTTAACCAAGAGTTGATGATGATTTCAGGAAATCAGCCCTTTTGGCAATGCC